CTCTTACTTTCCCAAAATCGATTTTTGAGAGCTCCTCACTCTAAAACCTAACTTCTCTCTAGGGTTTGATCTAGTAGGAGTGTTTCCCTCACCTTGAGCCTTTGTAAGAAGTGTGTTGATCATTGAGGGCTACATTTTGATCCGAGAAATTTGATGTTTGGAGCACTTCCGAGTTTAGCTCTTCTCCTTGGGTTCTACATTTGAGGTAGGGATTTCCTTGTTCTTTTTCAATACTTCGTCTATAGATAGACATATGGTAGTTTTGTATTGCATGAAAACCATACTTATGTTGGGTTTGTTTGAAAATCATGAGGGAACCTAGAGTTGGTTGATTAAAAATGGATTTATTGTCTTTGGTTGTTCATTGGACTATTTGTGGCGTAAAATAGCATGCTGTTGTTGAAATATAGAAGAGCCCTAATTTATATGTGTCATGATAAATTAAAAGAGGGGTTTTGTTCTTTGGGCAAATACTTGTGTATTTTGGGTCTCAAATGAGGTCTTTGTTGTTTATTGTTGATGATTGAACCTTTTTGGTCAATGTTGAGAAAAAGGGAGAAAAACCCTAACTTAATAATTATGACTTAATTTGCATAATTAATTTGGAAGGTTATGAAAGGAATGGAATTGATTTTGGGGAAATGAGAAATGTGTTTTTGGAATAAGTGGTGGAACATGTTGATTTGGAAAATTAGGAAAGTTGATTTTGAAAGTGAAGAATGAAACTTTAACTCTATGTGAGTCATAGAAAATAAATATGGGAACTGGATTGTTGTATCATGCATGTCGAGTGCACATATTTGGGGGAATTAATTTGTAGCTACCATGCTTGGGTTGTTGATGGGTTTGGGATCTCATGATAATTGAGTCTGTTAATAGATGTACAATATACATGCATCTAGAGGTTTTGTCCTTGGTCATCGGTGGAGGATGACGTGGTTATGTTGAATTGTCGTGTGTGCATTACACCTGTGTGTTCATACACTTTAACACATTGCTGGTATCTTGATTGTTTATGTGTATGCAATATACATGTCGGTTATGCTCAGTTGTGCTGTGATTGTTGATGTTATATCCCGCGCTTAAAATCAAAGGTACCGTTACCTTCCAGCTAGCGCCTGGTAAACTAGCTTGTTGTTGTGAAAGGTGTATCTTTGGCTTACTACGCACATAGCTAGTAAAGCGAAGTTTTGTGGTTGTTGTTTCTGCACATCTAGGAACATCTTGGATTGTGTTCATTGTAAATTTTAGAAGGCCGGGTTGCCTCATCTGTTGATTTTATACATGTCGATGATTTGTTATCTCCTTTTTATATTCAGGGTTTGCATGTATAGATAAGATTGTGTTTTAAAGAAACCAAAACGTCTTTTTGTCTTTGGGAATTGAAGGGAATCGAATATTTGAAATTATGTTTTGAAAAAGGTACACATGTTGTATATTTGGGAAATGGGAGAGAGTAGTGGTCTTAGTGAGTTTATTTCCTAAGAAATTGTTAATGCTATGAAAGATTGGGAACGGGGATTAATGAAAGGAAAAAGGAAAGAAGAATCGCCTATGGCGTTGATTGAAATGGTTGCTTTCGAGAAAAGTGCAAAATATGTATATTTTGTGTAAACTGTCACATTACTATTCTAGTATGAGATTGAGCATTCATGATCATAGCTATCTGTATGTTGTTATTGTTGAGGGCCATGTTGAGATCCCTACTGGACTATATGTTCATCCCACGTTGTTGAATCTTTTTTCAGGTGTTTAGCAGGATGTGCTACAAGATTTGGATCTTCTTATTTGTTGGCCACGGGGCCTCTTTGTTGTAGGCAGAATGCCATATATGTAAAAGGGTTGTACCCTTCATTTGATTATTTAATGTTGTAAGCCTGAGGACAACTTATTCAGAATACTCATGTTGTATTTAATTAGCATTCGAAAGAGAGAGTTGTTGTTCACTCCTTTTAGTTGAACATTTGAGTTTATTTCCGCATGTTATCTCTGAAATTGAATTAAGTTAATGAACTTGGTAATGACTTCGAGTAATAAAAAGTGGGGCGTGACACGAATAAAATTCGAATCTAGTTACTTATCGAGCCAAGCTCGAACTCAATAAACGAGCTCGATAAATAAACGAGCCGAGCCAAGCTCGAGCTCAACAAAGTTGGCTCGACTCGTTTGTAACCCTACATGTATAATAAATAGACTTCACATCTTATTTATATATTTAGTATTTATGCCGAAATCAAAAGATTGATTAAAAATGCTTACAAATCACATAACATTGTACAACATATTACTCTTTATTATAACTTCTACTATATGTAGGCTTTTTGTTTATTTCTAAAATTTTATTGATTTCTCTTTGTTCGATCAAGATTGGCTTTTACCAATCAACTTTCATTCTTTTAATAAATAACGTGGAATGAAAAAAATGAGAAAGACTTGACCTTGTTTGGGGTTTAATATATCAACAATATTGAATATTGAGAAAAGTATATGTATGGATCACAAATATCAACTTTAAATTTATAGGGTAAATTACAAGAAAAATATTTGAGATATCTAATTTATCATCTCTAAAAATCATATATAATAAGTGTCAAATTTTGATTTATTAAACATTTCATCATGTGGGATTTAACCTCAATGCCACATCAATAGAAGTTATTTAGGAATGATAAATTAAGGGGATGTAACATTGTTGAAATTACAAATACACTTTTGCTTAAAATACGGATTGCTCCTAGAATTTTAGAAATTATATCTCGTTCCTTCAAGTTTCTAATTACATAACAAATAACTCATTTTATTAAATAAATCATTTAGTCAATTAATAGTTTTAATGATGTTAGAAATGTATTTTAATTAATAATTCGGATAATTTTATTGTTATATAGAAGGGTAATTAGATTTTTTTTTCTATTAATTCTGTTAAATAAAAAATTATGATTAATGAGTATTTGTAATTTTTAAAAGCATATGAAGCAATTTATATTTTAAGCAAATTTCAAGGGAGTGTATTTGTATTTTAACCAAATTTTTTATATTATGCACTCACTTAAGGGACAATTTTTCATACTAAATTTTATGGTAAATAGCATTTTTCTTCTTATATAGTGTTACATGAAAATAAAATTATTTAAAAAAAAAACAAAGAAAAAAACATATAACTAGACGGGAGACATGGATTACGCAAATCTTTTTTATTTTTTATTTCTTTACAATGATCTTGTTGCTGTGATAATTCAATTATTTAAAATTTTAAATTTCAAAATAAAATGACGTGGCTTTGAAATGTTAAGTTTAGAATAAAACAATATTGTTTTAATAATACTTTACTTTAGTTTTAAGCACAACATAATCATTGTAGGAAAAGAATAACACTGTTACAAACACCTATGTGAGAAGAACAGATGATACAAATTCAGTTAAAATTTTTTTAATTCGTATACTTTTCCAAAAAGTATGGTGAAGAATCCAAATCTAGAGATAGTGGGTGTTTTCAGAAGTTGGTAAAAAGTTGACTTTTGACTTTTTACCCAGCTTTTTAGCTTTTTGAAAGTGATTTGGGAAGTTGGTAAAAAACTGACTTTTTTATTTTTGATTTAATATTTTTTAAAAATGTCACATCATTCTAAAATGACCAAAATATCTTTACTTTTTTATTTTTAAATTAATTAATTAAATTATTTCAGAGGGTAATTTGGTAAATTTGGATGTTGCTTATTGGGTCTTCCCAAATGGGATTGAAAACGCAGTGGGCATGGGGTTGGCGTTTCTGAGCTGTTGCCAATACGTGGTGTTTTTCACTTGTTGCCAAAATGGCACCTAATCTAACATATGTAAAATGTCAGATAGGAGTCGGACTCCCACTACAATTCAATGGATCCTGTACGGGGAGCAAATATTTCGGCGAGCCCGTACTCCTTTCTTCCGAGCTCCGTTTCTGTCCGATCACCTGCGAGCAAATAATGGTGAGTTACCCGGCGGTGTGTGGCCGGAAAAACCCTCCGACGATCAAGTTAGCACACACCTTAGGATAGAGAGAGAGAGAGAGAGAGCGAGGAGTGTTTGAGTGCAAGAATTTCCTTACAAAATGTTCCTGTGTCCAGTATGGGGGGCGCAGACATGCTTATATACCCTTCTGCGCCCCAAATCTACTTCCATTGGTCTCTCGACACGTGGCTCTGTTATCCCATCTGTCAGCATAAATCTTGCTATACATCACGTAACCCAACTGCCAGCCTACTCTGCTGGGAGCACGGCAGCCGGGCAACATTACCTCGGCTATCAACGGCCATACTGATCATGCCGAAATGCAGTTGATATAATTTCCTACTACCGAGCCTAATTCCAGCCGTGCTCAACTGTATTCTGGCGAAGCTGAGCTGGAGATTGGTTGTGCCGGTCAGCCAACAACCTTCTCGGCCACGTTCCAAGTGCCGGCCTTCCTACCGGGTTAAGGTGCGTGCATTACAGCCTTGCAACGCGTGAGCCGGGGAGCCTTATCCGGGCTGTTCCTCCACCTGTCCGCCCTTCGCGGAACCGAGATCTTGGAGCCCAATACCTCGGCCCAAATCTGTCCGGCTAACGTCACGGCCCAATCTCAAATCATAAATCTCCCTCTCAGATCCCAAAATTTTGTGTGTTGTGAAATACTTTCCGAATTTCTATTTTGATGGCAATCATAACAAAGACAAGTTGGTGCAAAACTTATCTTGTTAAACTATCATGGCTTATCATCAATGTTGTTGACTCATCAAGCTAACGTAAACAATTTGTTAAAAAAAAAAATTTAAAAAAGAAAAAAAAAACTAATGTAAACCATTCACTTAATTGTGGCCTCACACACACACACTCTACACATACAAATTAAATCACTTCACATCACATATATCAGATCTCTCAGCTTTGGTTCTCCCTTCCTAACCTAACTGTCAAGCAAACAAAAATGTTAGCTACCTGACATTCTATTTCTCACTTCCATCCTTCCACTATTATAAGTTCTCACTGTCTTCCCCATCCAATTCATTATCACTCTCTCTCTCTCTCTCTCTCTCTCTCTCATACGCACTTTCTCTTTCTTTCTCATCTCTAAATTACTCAAAAACTAGTCTCCAATGGGCTCTGAATCACTTGTCCATGTCTTCCTAGTCTCCTTCCCGGGCCAAGGCCATGTCAACCCTCTTCTCCGCCTCGGGAAACGCCTCGCTTCCCGAGGCCTCCTCGTCACCTTTTCAGCCCCAGAAAGCATCGGCAAAGATATGCGAAAAGCGAGTAACTGCACAGACGAGCCAACCCCGGTTGGAGATGGGTTTATAAGGTTTGAATTCTTTGAAGATGGTTGGGACGAGAACGAGCCGAGGCGACAAGACCTTGACCAGTACTTGCCCCAACTCGAATTAGTTGGAAAAGACCTACTTCCCAAAATGCTCCAGAAACATGCCGATCAAGATCGGCCTGTTTCTTGCCTAATCAACAACCCCTTCATTCCTTGGGTCTCCGACGTAGCGGAGAACCTCGGCCTCTCTAGCGCCATGCTATGGGTCCAATCTTGTGCTTGTTTCTCCGCTTATTATCATTACTACCATGGAATTGTCCCTTTTCCTAGTGAAGATAATATGGAGATTGATGTTCAACTTCCTTGCATGCCTCTTTTGAAGTACGATGAAGTTCCCAGTTTTTTATATCCAAACACTCCCTACCCTTTTTTAAGAAGGGCGATTCTCGGTCAGTACAAGAATTTATCTAAACCTTTCTGTATTTTGATGGATACTTTTCAAGAACTCGAACATGAAGTTATCGAATACATGTCCAAGATTAGTCCCATTAAGCCGGTGGGACCGTTGTTCAAGAACCCGAAAGCGCCTAACTCGAATGTCCGAGGGGATTTCATGAAAGCCGATAACTGTATGGAGTGGCTCGACTCGAAGCCGCCTGGTTCCGTTGTGTATATCAGCTTTGGGAGTGTTGTGTACTTGAAACAAGAGCAAGTTGACGAGATTGCTCATGGGATTTTGGGTTCTGGGGTTTCGTTTTTGTGGGTGATGAAGCCGCCGCATAAGGATGCTGGCTTGGAGTTGCTGGTTTTGCCGGAGGGGTTCTTGGAGAAGGCCGGTGATAAGGGGAGGGTCGTGCAGTGGAGCCCCCAAGAGCAGGTATTTTTATTAGTCTAACAAAATAATAAATGTTTACTAGTAGGAGGAAATTATTAAATATTTTTAAAATATGATGGGTTTATATTTTCTAATTAATTATCATTTAATATATTTTATATATTTTTTAATCATCTAATATAATATTCTATTTACTTAATTTTTTCATTAATTATAATATTATAAAATATCATATATTTATATTTTAGAATTACTGAATAATTATTAAATATTAAGTGCGAATATTATAAATAAAATTGAAAAGATAATAGTGATATAAAAAGAATTTAGCCGATAGGAACATTTGAGGAAGTCAAGAATCGCGGTTCTAAAATTATTATTATTATTTTTTTTTAATGCCCTCGTGTACGTAACTTGACATTTTATTCATATGTTAAACATTTATCATAGAAATCAAAAGTTTATAAATTAAAAATATTATTAGGTATGATTTTATTTCTTGTGTTCTTTATTAATAAAAAATTATACAAAAAAATTACTATTAAGGACTGTAACTTCTAGGATTTGTGAGCTTTTTGTTTATTTTTCAAATTTGATTGGATTGATTTTTCTTTGTTGCATAAAGATTGTCACTCTCCTAAAACTGAAACACTGAAATAAGTTTGGGATAACACTTAGTTTATACTAAATAATTAATTTAAATTAAAAAGAGAATAACTTAAATTTTTTTGAGTGGATCAAAACTAAAAGAAGAGTAAGATATATATAATTTTGAAATCAAACTAATAACATTATTAAACATTAAAACGGTTTTATTTATTAATTCATATAATAAATATTAATTATGTACACTATTAATTTTATAATTAAATTGTAATGATAATTTTCTTATAGGTTTTGGTCCACCCGGCCGTGGCATGTTTCGTAACGCACTGTGGTTGGAACTCGACTATGGAGTCATTGGCTAGTGGAATGCCGGTGGTGGCGTTTCCACAGTGGGGCGATCAAGTGACCGATGCCAAGTACTTAGTGGATGTGTTTAAGGTTGGGATTAGGATGTGTAGGGGTGAGGCGGAGGATAGGGTGATTCCGAGGGAGGAGGTGGAGATGTGTTTGAGAGAGGCGACAAGCGGTCCAAAGGCAGCAGAGATGAAGGCGAACGCGTTGAAATGGAAGGAGACAGCGGAGGCGGCGGTGGCGGAGGGTGGCTCCTCCGACCGGAATATGCAAGCATTTGTGGATGAGGTGAGGAGGAGAAGTTTAGGTATTACGTCAAAGTCTACGACACCAGAAATTATCACAACTACTACTGTTGTTGTTTAATGTTGTTTGGTTTTGTTGGATATGTGTCACCGGGATGGACACGTGTGGGAAATGGATTGGAGGATTTGGGTCTTATCCTTTTAGTGTGAAATGTGAAATAACTGGAATGCCCTTCATGAGAAGCATTCTGGATTTTTTTTCTTGTTACTAATGCCTTTCCTAGATATAAAAGCCTGTTTGTTTGGCTGGTTTTGCTGTTGATTTTGTTAATTTGTATTCTAATTTTCTTCTCTCAACTATTGTGTTTGTTAATTATAACTTTTTGGGCTATTGTGTTGGACTTTTTACCCACCAAGGATCCTCTAGAGTGTTTTTTTCTTAAAGTTTCCTAAAATGGTGTATTGTGTGGTTGAGATTTAATGTTGAAAAATTAATGTGACTTGTCATTAAATCTCAACCACACAATGCACCACTCTATAAAACTTTAGGGAAAAAAAACTCTAGAGGATCCTTGCTCCTTTTTACCTTCCCTAAATTTCTTGACAAGAATAATCCTAAATGCTACATATATAAAAATAGATCACAGAAAAATATATATATAATATACTGTGCAGTTGAAATTCACCCGTGTCATTCTTTAAAAAAAAAAATTAAATGTTATTTCACCTAGGCCACAAAAATATATATATACATATATAATATATTGTGCAGTTGTAATTTCTGTATTCTGTTTTTGAGGTGGAGAGTTTTGGACATAGGGATGGCAATGGATAACCTATCCTGTAGGGGTGGGCGCGGGTCGGTTGCGGCCACGGAACCTCCAATCCGCCATCCGTCCGCCAGATTGGCGGATTGAAGAAAATCAATCCGCATCCGTCCGCCAATCCGGCGGATGTGGATTGAGCGGATTGGCGGTTTGGCGGATGGATGCGAATCGGTTTGGCGGTTTAAAATTTTATAAATTTTCAACATAATTCAACTTGTGCACTTCCTCAAAAAAAAAGAAAAAAAGATTTATTTTTTCAGGTTCACAACCAACTTCTTCTTCTTTTTTTTTTTTTTAAAATCCACCATCAAAGCTAAATATACATCCAATCTTTTTATTATTATTGTTATTATTATTTTTATTTTTAAGGTTCACAACCATTTTTTAAAATTTAAATAGCTTCTCCTGAAATTACATCCAGAACTAAATAAATTACATCCGAGTACGCTAAATAAATTTATAAACATCCTGAACTTCTCCGAATTGAATGGGGGAATTATCACATGAAATTGCAAAACTAACTGTGAATGTTATTAATATTCAAAACTTGGTTGCTAAAACTGGTAATAAAGAATAGAAATAATAGGGAATTATTTTTATTTTTAGGGTTCACAATTTATACAACATATATATATATATATATATATATGAATGAATTTGAAAATAAGGAAATTGTAGAGAATCAAAACAAGCATGAGTCGTGATTGGTTAGAAAGGATGGGTACAAAGATTTATTTGCTGGAAAAATAAAAAGGAGATACAAGGTCTTATTAAATAATTTTTTTTTTAAATAAAAGAATTTTTCTTAGTTATGAACAGATTTAACTGAAATTAGCTTGTTTCTCAATGTTATGCTTCATTTATTTAGATAGAAAATATTTTTTAATGAAAAATATTTTTTATAAAAAAAATTAAAAATATATTTTTTTATATTTGGTGGTGGTGGTGATGGAACGAGGGTGATAGATATCTTAAAATGAGTGGTTCAGATTTGTTAAAAGATATAATTAGATTTTGGATAAATTAAAATGAATGATTCAAATTTGCTAGGAGAAAGATGGTTTAATGTCTAAAATGTCCGTGGCTAAGAGATTAATAAACAATTCCTTGTTTATGTCCTGATGCAATTTAATATGGGTCTTATAACACTTTCTTCAAATAGGTTCTTTCACATTTTATTTCTTCAAACAGACTCTTATAACATTGTAATCAGGTTCTTATAACATGTAGGGGAGAGAGTGAGAGTGGGAGAGAGAGATGGTTGTAATTTTTTTTTAATCTTCCACGTTCTTCCGTATTTTTTTTTCAATTACTAAAACTTATTTGATTGTCTCAAAATTATATATTTGATTATTATAAAACAAACTTTTTAATTAATTAATTAATGTGTATTTGATTTTGTTGTTGAACCAAATAAAATAAAATAAGATTGAATGTATATTTAGCTTTTGTTGTGAACCTTAAAAAAAAATAAAAAAATAAGTTGTTAACATTAAATATATTAAAAAAGAAAGAAAAAAGATTGAAGGTATATTTAGCTAAAACCTTAAAAAAAAAAAAAAAAAAGTTGTTAACATTAAATGTATTAAAAAGGAAAGAAAAAAGATTGAAAGTATATTTAGCTTTTGTTGTGAACCTTTAAATAAATAAAAAAAAAAAAAATCGTTAACATTAAATATATTAAAAAAGAAAGAAAAAAAAGATTGAAGGAATATTTAGTTTTTGTTGTGAACCTTAAAAAAAAAAAAAAAAAAGAAGTGGTTGTTAACATTAAATATAAAAAATAAAAATTGGGATTAAAGTGGGTTGGGAAAAATCCATACCTATTAAGAAATGGGGAGGGTGGTACCCATGGAGAATGGGGAATAGGGAATAGAGAAAATTTATTATAGGAAAATGGGGATGGAGAATTAATATCCACCCCATTACCCCATTGCCATCCCTATTTGGACATATCATTATCACGTGTAGAAAATTATATCAGTACAATTATCGATATAATAATAATATTTTATATACTATAATAAATGTGATAAAATAGTCTTCATTGTCTTTGTACTACTAAAAAAATTGACTCTTTACTATCATATAATTCGTGATCACTTAATTATCCATCACAAATAGTCAATTTATTCTCTATTTTCTTTTATATATTTTCCCCTAATCCTTATATTTGTGCTAGTCCCTCCACAAACATTAATCGTTCTCTCTCTCCCTCTCAATATGAATTTCTCGGACCGCTTAATCTTGTTCTCTATCCCTCAATCTCACATACTCTATCTCTCTTACTCGTGCTCTCTCTCCTCGATGATGTTCTTCTCAGATCAGCACCTCTGCTATGTCGATATCCTTCATCCTCCTTAAGTAAACACACCTGTATATGTACCTCAATGGTGTTTTTTTGATTTTTTTAGCCTTTTTGGCCAAAAAAAACCACAAAAATTTAACTTTTTTAACACAAAAAAGCCAAAAAGTCACAAAAAAATTAGCTTTTTACCAACTTCCCAAAATATCACATTATGTGTTTGTGAATTTCAACGTTTGAAATTGAATTTATTCTATTGAGGTCTGAGCAAGAATTGAAGTAGCCGTCCTCAACTTCCTCAAGATCTTGAACTCTTCGACTCGAGTTTGCAATTTTGCTTCAAATCTCTACTCTCGAAATGTGTATATATGTGTGTTTGTTAAGCATTGAGTCACTGTTGATTTTAAGTAGATGAATTTGAAGATTTTTGAGTGTGTTACAAATTGATAGAAGATGGAGTAATAGCAGAGTGAGTTAGGATTTGTTGATTGATGTTTCGTGAATTTTTTTCGCTCATTCATTTTGCACAAGGTCTTTGATGAGAATTAACACTGCTCAATCCTTCATCAGAGGTAATAATAAGATCATCATCATCTCTCTTTCTCATTTGCCTTTTTAATCTTATATTTTTTAAAAATTTCTACACTCACTCATACAAATACAAACAAAGGCTTCCTTTGCTTCTCTCAAAAATTAGAATTTGTAATATTTTACTCAGTTTAATTTGCAATTTTCATTTAATTTTATATTCATTTAGTTCACTAATGCCGGTATCCTTCAATTTAATTTTGGCCATTCCATTTTTGTTTCTTTTCTTCAATTTAGTATGAATTAGGCCTCTTTGTGTGTTTGGTTATCTTGAATTAGTGCTTTGCTTTGTGTTTTGAATATCTAATTAGAATCTTTTATTTGTGTTTTGATCATATTTAATGTTCTTTTTTTAGTGTGATTTGATTGGCAGAGGAGAATGGGATCTCTTATACACCTGACCAAATTGGAGCTCATAAGATGTTTATCATGCTCTTTTTCATGTTACAGATTATTTTTGGATACCTTTTGATTTATATATATATATATATATATTAATTATATATGAGCAAATGATGATTTATATAATATGTTTGTGACTATGCTCTGGTTTTTTTTTTATTATTTATTATCAAAAATTATTCTTGTTATCATTCATTCATTCATTCTTATATATGTACGTACAATATTCATAACAAGAAATATTCATAACAGGAAATATATCAGAAAAGGCCCAAAAATGCTTAATATATATATATATATATATTTATAAATTTTTTAAGTCCATGCTTGTGCACAATGGGAGCAACTCACATTCTTTTGAATGGAAAATAATATATCCTATAAAACATATAAAAAAAATGTAGCTTTAGACCTTGACTTATTTCAAGGGTTTTAAATCACCCATAAAACTACTAATGTCTGTATAAAGTCTAATGACACTTTCATAAGCAGAGAATGCCTTTCTTCTAGGCAGAACTTTTGTCTTGTTTGAACAATTGAACATGGCACTTATGTATAATGACATCCTATTCCTCTTAATAAGATTTCATTCCTGATTCTTCATTCTGTTATCCTAATAGGGCTAATAGTTATGATAATTCTATCACCGAAATAAAACTTGTTTAGTCGCTGCTTTTCCATGTGTAAGAGGGGCTAATTTGAGCCCACTAAATTATTTAGGCCCAATAGCCCAAGATTAGTGGGCCCGAATTTATCGCAAGTCCAAGAATCGGTGGGCCCAGATTTATCGCCATCAAACGGATTGAATCGCTCTAAGCCTCGAAAGGGTTCGGATCCACGAACCTAGAGACTTACTCAGGCCCGGAACTCGAAAGGGTATTAGGCAAGCCTAGAGATCCGAGGCACTCGGACTCGAAAGGATTCGGACCCACGAATCTAGAGATCCGAAGTACTTGGCTTCGAACGGATTCAGACGCAATCTAGAAGTCGCTCCGTTAATGAGTCCCAGAACACTTGCGGGCTCGGAGCTTTCCGGGATCTACGCACCAGAACCATGGGCGTAATGGAGTCCGAACAAAGGACCCGATCCCGAGGACGGTGAGTGGAGATAAATTCACTCTTCGGTTAAACTAGTGTAAACGACAAGCTCATAGGTTCAAGATTCAACAAGGAGCACTAATTATTTCAAGACAAAAAAATTACAAGATTCAAGATCCAAATCAAATTTCCACACATTCAGAGTTCATCAGAGTATAAGGTTCATCAG